AATCAAATATGTCAACTTGAAAAATTATAGTCAGTTAAAATGCAAATCGTGTTTGGTTAAAGTGCGTTTTATAAAATATTGAAAATGTCCAATGCTTAATTTGGTACATCCTCAGGCGATTTTTTGTCGACGAAACGAGGAGAAGAGTGTCGTATACGATAACGAGACTTACGTGTAGCTCGAACTTCTCTTAATCACCAATTAAAATATTCGGTGAGAGCGATGCAGCCGTTATCGTTATAACAAATTCGATTGCGTAGCTTTTGATCTGCGATTACGATTGAATGCCATCTTTACAGCTCTGCCGTAGAGAAATTATTTGAAGATTACGCATTAAACAATTTGTCATAGAAAGCGAATAAATTTATAAATAAATATAAATAATGTCTTATCTTCCTTTCTAATCTTTCTTATTATATTTTTCTACAAGCAAGATAACATTACCTGATGATTCCTCTCAATAAAATGTAAATATAAATATAAATATAAAATTCTCAATTCCAAACGTAAAAAGATATTTACGTAGATTACAGAACTTTCTTTGGAAATTGGAACGATTTCAAAAGTTGTCCGCTTATTAAATCTTCGTTATTTTTCAGTTTCCAATAAAAATATATATAGATTGTCGGGATAATTAACCCGTTTGCGCGTTTATGTAGATCGATTTGCATTCGGCGGAGGGCGTTCGTTTGGAATGGCATACCTTATAATCCATGAATTCAGATCTCGCGATGGCCCGGATATTAATTTCGAAATCACGGCAGATTATGATGTGGCCGAGAAGAAGAATCGAGAACGCGGAGATATGTGGGCACTACATACGATATCTCTTAAAGTAATCCGAGACATTATTACACCAGTCCGCAACTTTCTCGTCATCGCGGTAGTCGTATACGACGGGGAAAACACGGCGATTGTGTCGTAAATGCGGTGCGATAGAAAGCGGGGTGGAAAGAGACGTGGGCAGCAGCATCAGCGGCGATACGCCCGTATCGGAACGGTGTCCGATCTGTCAGGTGAATAAAAAATGAGGTGCATCGTCCGCGATGTTGGTCAGCGAGAGACGACGCTTCGCCCGGAGCCGCACAGTTGCGGCAGCAGATTTTATCGATTGTAGTCCTTAAGCCCTTCCTCCGAGTTAACTCGCGTCGCGCTGGTGTACGCAATGAATAACGGGACGTCTTACAAGGTATGCGTATAAAAATGCAAAATGGCCAATAAAGAAGCGAGTTTAAATAGCAAGTACATTTCGCGGAATATGAAAGTTGATAGCTTATCGTCTAAGTAAATCATTATAACGCGGACGTGTAGTACATTACGCGCGCGTGGTTGCGAGTTTCTACGACCGCTGTTTTCATAACAGACGCCGAGTCCAGCGAAGAAAATAAAAAAAAAAAGAGAAGAATATGCAGCAAGACGGAACATTTCCTCGATTTTTACAAAGCGGTAACACCCGAAGCGATGACACTCGGCCTCGGGAGAGTCTATTAAAGAAACAAATGATCGTTAACAAACGATCAGCTAAAGTTGCGAAAATATTATCCAACGATGGGAGAAATTAATGATGCACGGTATAAAGCTCAGAGGCGACAGAGAACTTTGATCGCATGTAATATCGATCGATCGCTTTGCACCCCCTTTGAAGGTACGCTCGTAAATCGCGAGATAAGTGCACTCAGCGGACCATCAGCCGCTTTCACGGTTGATATTTATTCGCACATCCTTTATGCCTACCTACGCGCCGCAATCGCGTTACGTAATACAGCTAATTAAAAGCCCAAACGTATCGTACTAACTTTCCCCTATATTCATCGAACGATCGTCCCGACCGTACAGATAGAGATCGTTCAACCCGTTGTCTTGCCCGTCAATTAACGTTTTTTGGTCGTTTCTTGCGTGTCCCACAGAGAGCTTTGCGTGTTCACGAATAACACAACACAAACACAAAATTAATTAACCTTCCTATCGAAAGATTTTAAAAATATTTTTTAAAATAAATCTGTTGTGTGTTAAAAATAGAATGAGTACATAAGTAATAAATAAATAAAAATTAATTAATAAATCTTCATTTGTTATTACGCTAAATATTTGTATAAATATTTTTCAAAAATCTTAATACAACAATAAATGTAAGAATATTAAAAGAATTTGTTATTTCTCTTAACAAAATTAAAATTATCTAAATAAAAGAATTGACTTAATTAATTTTTATCTCAGTGTATAAACCAGATTATAAATTATAATATAAATATTGGACAAAGCGCTTGTCATTACGTAATATTTTAGATAAATACTATCTCGGCGCAAAATTATTTCAATATTAGATTAGTATTTGCCGTGCCAGCGTTTCGTTATGATCTGTTTTATACTAAAATATTCAATAAACAATCACGCGGCGCATTTTAACATTTATTATGTCGAGCGTCCTCGACTTTCAAGAGAGACGCTCGCCTTCCTAGCTCCCCTTTTCCTCGCATTCCCTTCCTAGTTCTAAGTTCCTAGTTCCTAGTTATTTTAAACCAAGCCAACCGGCGGCTTTTCATGCATTCTAAAGCGACTTGTGAGTGCAAAATGCAAATGCGCTCTCGCGAGAAAATCGTTCGGATATATCGATGACGTGACTTTGTGAATCACGCGAGTACACGGCTTCGCACGGCGGCGAGCAGCTGGCATTCCTAGAGACACACGAGAATTTATCGTCGTGCTACGTGCCCCTTACATTTCCCGTAAAAGAAGAAAACTAATGCCTATCGAGGTATAATTCACTGTTCCCCCGTCGGATCCTGTCTAATGTTACATCGGTATACCTCGCCGGTAATGTCCACGATCAATAATCGCACGTAGGAAAATGCACGGTCTTCCCCAAAGTTTTCTCAGAGGGGTGGAGAGGAGGGCGCGCGACGTCGCTAAATTACTAATTAACGTAATCAATCTTAACGATATCTCTGTAACGCGCCGAAAGTCCCGGCGATTCACCACGCCACGTTTCCATTGTGTGTCTCCCAAAAAGATTCCTTGAGATTTAACATCTCGCGTTGCTTTCTCTTAATATCGCGAGACGCGTGTTTACGGCGCGAACGCGCCGTACCACACGGAATTTCCCAGACAAATATAACCCCTTCTATCTCACGCGGCGACATTAACATATCTGATCGGCGATATTTACTGACAATCCAAACATCCCAATGGAATAGCATTGATTATTAATTAGATACGCATGTTAGGCGCATGCATAATCCTGTGTAGCTTCCGCCACATGCATTCGTATTATATTTCACTCTCGTACACTGTCGTACACATTACGTAATAAAATAACAAGAAAAAATCCAATATTATTACATAGCCATGCCTAGCATTTAAGACGAAATAAAAAACCTTTTTGCTTTGCAGATAGAAGCAATCGTACGCGTATGCAAAGGGGATGTTTCCAGGGAATGTTTCACGCGTAATGCATTTTTGAGCGAGGAAATTCGGCGTGTCATTATTTTTCTCAGAATTCGGTTATATCGAAGTCTGAAACTCCCTGAATCCTTCTTTTCCTCTTTCATTTAACTCTTTGATTTCTATAGTTGCGGTAAACGCGCGTTTAATACGAGCTCATTAATCTCACGGATATGGAAAGTTCATCTGTGACAAGGTAAACGTGATGTAGCGCGACGCTCCACATAATTAACGGTCGATAATGAGAGATTGTCAGATTGTTTCCGATTGATTAGAGAGCGGACAATGCGACCGCGTATGCCGTGCGTTTGTCAGCCGGAGGCTGTAGGATTCCGTTTGATTTCGTTGCACCAAATCGTGAGTAATTTCGACTCGACAATTAGGAAAAAACCGAGGTAAATAGCCATTTGACTGGCCGATTGTTTAATGACGACGCAATTTGTTGATTAGAAATGGGAAACGTGCGTTAAACAACGATTAACGTTACGCAACATTCGCGTGAGCGGTAAAACTGGGTAAAAAGAGAAAAAAATGAAAAATAATGGAAAAAGAATTTAATTTCATCGCGTTTGTATATTGCTAGGTAAACATCAGAACGATGGCGGTGCTTGTCTAATAAATTTCGAGGGAAAGTACAAGTTTAAGCTGTTCCCATACGTGTCACATGCATACGTTGTTCAAATGAAGGGTACAGCTTTTTACAAAAATCTACAACATAAATCTGCACGACAATAGCACGGTAAAACAGTCTCTCGAGCACGCAGTACTCGGATTTCGCTCTCGATCTTTTTTTAATCTGACGGTAACGGTGCTCGAATATACGAATGACAAAAAGTATAATAGATGCCACTGACAGAAAAGTCATTTTTATCCACTAAATCTTCTAGATCTTCGCCTTGTATCCAAAGGCTTGTCGTTGAACTTTCCTGAACTCGCCGTAAGAGAAAAATTAGCGGGGTAACACCAAGAGCTTGAAAGAACCAACGAGAGAAATTATGTAAAAGCATTATGTATTTATCCTCGTGAAAAGATCACATTTCAAAAATTCAAATAAATTGATCGACGAAACGTTGGAGAAAACCTATTCGAACGTGCCGAGTTTACCAGAAAGAACATCGGCAATCCGAGTCGCTCACCGAGTCCGAGCTTCCGACTAATCGGCGGAAAAGAAAAACGGATCTTCGCGCGGATCGTCGTTAAAGAAATCGTGACAATTGTGCAAGCGTCTTCCAATAGGGAACCCGATGACATTTAGCGCAGTGTGACATGGTGATCTCAGGGAAGGTGGTCTCTCCTCGATGCTGATGTGGAGTGTGTTGTCTCTCGGCTCACCGGCTACGACGCACACCAGCACACGCATATAGACGACGCGGTGTTAAACCGAGGATCCGTGTAAACCCCCCCGGTGTCGGTCCCCGCACGCGGCCCCTCGGCGTGTCCCCATGTGCATCCCACATATTACCGTAACGTGGTGGCCATCGGTGCATCGGGCCGTCGGTGGTGTTGGTGATGCCTCCAGGGGTATATATACGACGAGCGCTGCGGGGCTTGATAAACACTTGCCCATCAGCGATTACTGCCGCAGCATGTACACGTCATTGGTAAGCGTTTAATTAAGAGGAAAGAAAACCCCCGGGTGGGCGATGGGAGAGGACGGGGGTGGGAAGCCGGGGGAAGAGCTAGAGGGCACTTCCGCCGCGAGATAATCCGCGGGTCGTGTGAATTTGACATGCATTTCCAATCCCCGGCGGCGGGATCCCTTGTGCGCGTATCCGGAAGCTCCGTGAGTTAAGTTGTTGTGACACTTCCCGATTATATATTCGATATAGTGTATATCGGGAGAGCTCCGGGACTCGGATGTCGGTAGATAGAAACGCGGACAAGGCGGGAGGGAGGGCCGGAGGGTAAGTAGCGTGTCCCGGAGGATCGTTTGGTGTAAAGATATCGATCGACGCCGGGATACACCCAAAATCTGCCGTGTAACGCGTGTAAAACACGTTTCCCCGTATGTAACGTTTAGCATTTACGTTTAGCATTATTTACACGTTCCCCGTATGAACGATAGCCTCGTGAACGATACGATTTAACCGGGAGCAACTTTTCCGGGGGAGCAAAAGTATTTCGTATCGCGGAAGATAGAAGAAGAAATACGAGATAGCGATACCTTTCGTTCTTTAATTACCTTCAAGTGCATTTCATCTTAATAAAGATAAAATGTACTTCGCAACTGAATAGTACTTATATCAAAACGCTTAAAGGAGAATTATCAAAACGGCATTTGTAGAATTTATAATACATAATTGATTATTTCAATTTTTAAGTAATACATTCGACATAATTTATTTAATGAAACAGCCTTTGAATATTTTGCATATTAAATAAATTCGGTTTTATCATAATTTCAATAAATCAATTACATTTCCGATAATTCCCTGTTATAGAAATTTTTTCCGGCTTAAAATATTGTCTTGTACATATTACTCGATTATTCAGAACTTTGTAATATTATACAATAATACCGTAGAAATTATTAATATTATGAAATTCATTTTATCCGAGGCGCGGCGTCTGACCTAATAACGCTGATACTACCGCGATCCCCGTCGTGTCTGACTCAAAACGGTATCACTACTGCGATGCGCGACGCCCGTTTCCATCGATTCGCAGAGCTGCCCAATCGATCTAACAATCTCGAATATTCATTGAAATTAAATCGACAATAATACGTATCGCAACATAAACGTCACAATATACTAAAATTGGAAATCTGATATTTCGGAGTAATATAAACATTTTGACATTGGTATCTGATATTTCGACGATACGCGGATGCAAATGTGGCTCTTAATTATTCCATGTAATCACCGTGATTAAATTACCATTTTCTGCTACGTCGTGTAAATCGTCTTCAAGAATATCTAAGTGACGATAGCCATTAGCGCGTGTCGCATAAACACTTGTGCAACGACACAGGGAAACTGACGAGAAGGCCAATATTCATCCGATATATTATGTATCTGAAGACTTAACTGGTGGCAATTGAGGTTGCCTGGTTCTCTGCATCGCGTTGTGTACCGGATACTTTATCGTTGCGCGGCAGTGTTAAATTGTATTCGCCGCGGGTGCATTTCTGTCCGCGCAATCATCGCTTTAATCAAGATCCCATCTAATATCGATGAACGATAGATCGCTCGATAATTCTACTAAATCAGTTATTACCTTTAATTTCCGAGGATGAATATTACTTTTACTTTCATCTCGGAGTGTATATTAAATCTTTTGCCAATTTGTAGTCTCAACTCACTTTGATCCAACAGCCGATATCCAACGCGTATTTCGTAACATAAGTCATGTTCAAGTGATTTCAATCAATCAATATTAGAATCTCCATCATTTGTGTTCATATTTGTATTTAACTCTTAAAGTGTGTGTGTGTGTGTGTGTGTGTGTGTGTGTGTGTGTCTTAACTGAAGTTAGTGAAAGTTACGCTATTTTAAATGTGGGAGGTCAATATATGAATATAATAGTTTAAGGGAAAAAAGATTAATTAAGATAGTCGCGACAGCAAATCTGTCATTGCAGCATTTCCCAATGATAAATCGGTAGCGAACATTTTTAACGATTTAATAATAGCTATTAAATAAATAGCAATCTCATCGGTTCTCATAATTTTACAAAAGCAATTAATTTTGTTCAAGAGTAGTGTAATGTCATATTTACGTCACGAGTCGCGTAATTACATCAATCAGATTTTAATATTTAAATTTATAGTTAAAAACATATGTATCTGTCTCTTGTTAAAAATCTAATAGAGTAAATGTAGATTTTCAGCCAAAATTTTCAATTAAAATAAATACATCATCGCGATCATACAAATCCAATCAAATATCATCCTTCCCATTAAGCACATATATTTTATTTATTTTGCAATATTATATTTTTTCTTGTTCTGTGAACGTCAGGTAACCTTAATCGCGTTGGCAGCCTGCGCCGTGGCAGCGCCTGCCGACGAGCCAATACTGATCGTCAGCCAGAGTCAGGACGGTCCCAATCCGGATGGCTCGTACAAGTGGAGTTACGAGACTGCAAACGGTATCAAGGCCGAGGAAGAGGGCCACCTGGAGGACGCCGGCAGCGAGAACGAGGCGATGAAGGCAGAAGGTGGCTTCAGCTACTCCAGCGACGACGGCCAGGCGATCTCCCTGACCTACGTAGCTGACAAAAACGGTTTCCAGCCGGTGGGTGCTCACCTGCCCACCACACCGGAAATCCCACCGCTGATTCTGAAAGCCCTCGAGTGGAACGCGGCACATCCGTCCAAGGATGACGAGAACCAGGTGTAAAACCGGCGACCGGCACCGCGGTCCAGCATGTGATCTCACGGTCTCTGACGAGTAATTGTTATTTCCGCCACGAGAATGGAAGATGATCCACGATAATGAACCCACGGTGACGTCGCCCGCGTGTCGTCGTCCTCGCCCCTGAAACGAACACGGACTGCTCTGGTTCAAATTGTTGTAAATATTTATTGTAATACGCGGTATCCCACACACACACAACCTGCATATGTGTATTTTATTATATTGTATTCTAATACTATTGTATTCTAATTAATATATATATATATATATATATATATATATATATAATAATATATATATATATATATATTAG